TCATGACTAAGGTTTTATTGGAGAGTAATAAAGGATAGCTAGCCCCCTCAAGGTCCTGGAAACCTTGCTTCCAAAATTCCTTAGAGACTTAAGCTCTCCCTAACCCCCTCCCAACTTGAAAGTATATAATGGGTCCCTCCTCATGACCCCATGCAGCTCTTTCTGCCCACGGGTCCTGTCCCTGTGTTTTAATAAAACCACCTTTTTGCATCAAAGATGTCTCAAGAATTCTTTCTTGGCCCTTGCTTGGCTTCAACACTAACATCTTTCCTACATCACTAAGATTGGCACGTATATTGCAGACTAACATTATATCAGTTAAAATGTGGTTAGAAACTAGAGAAAAGATGATTACCTGCCTTTATTTTTATTTTATTTTTTATTTTTATTTTTTTGATTACCTGCCTTTATGAGTCATCTCTGGGTATATATATATATATATACAAAAAAAATCCTACGCAATTAAGATATATAAATGGGTTTTTCTCAGAACATACAAAAAAATTAATTCCTAAATGTTTATATTCTCTTGAGTCAGAAATAAAGCACAATATACACTTGAACTGATCTGCTTTTTATTCCTTTCATTGTGACTGGCATTAGGAGAAAAAAAAATGGGAGATGAGTCCTGCAAGGAAATCTATAATAATCAGACTCCAAGGTCTCATTTCTATCATTATCTATTGTGAATAATTATCCACATTTTACTTATTTCATCTATTTAAATCTTATCAATTGTGTTAAACAGATTAAAATGGACTAATTAATTATGTTTTAGAAATTTGGGGGGTATCATAGGATTAAGATATTTAATAAAACACATTTTTGTGATTAAAGTCTCAGAAGAATCCCTTAAGTGTTAAGTCCTATTTCCTGAACCCCTTGTAATATACAGTTCATTCTGAAGCAGGAGTAAATCACTGAAGTGAACATTTTCTTCATAATGTCACTACAAAATAGCATAAAAAGTATTCTAACTACATGCCATGAAATTAAAACAACAGACCATGACTGGTAGGAAATTATGGGTTTATCTTAGTTTCGTGAAGATTTAAAAAAAAGTAACATTTATGAAGAAAGTAATGAATATTAAGTCTTTCATACACCTACAATGATTAAAGAACTCTTTTCACTTATGCTAGCAACTCTGCAACATGGTGAGATTTTTGACCTGTTTGAACAGAGACTCAGATGTTAATTAGTGTCAGGTCGTACAGAATGGGGAGTTTGAAAAGCAAATAAAATAAAATTTAAAAAAAAAATAGAAAGAAAAGCAGATGGAAGGGAATCAGGTGGAAGTTATTTAGATAGTTTAAGATGTCCTGACACTGGAAACAGGACACGGATCTGGTACTCCAAGACTGATACTCAAGTGTGGTCCACAGACCAGCAGTGGGGGTATTTCCTTAGAGCGAAGTCTCAGCTCCAACACAATCTTATTAAATTAAAATCTTTTTAAAGAAGATCCTCGGGTGACTCGTGCATATATAAGTTTTGGAAACACTACCACTATGCGGAATTATTTTGAAAACTTAAGGCTAATAAGATACCCCGTGACTGGAAGGAAACAACATAGTTCTATGTATTTTTATATAGCAATCACAATAAATCTTCTTCAGAATGGGTGTTCCTTAAAGAGTGAGGGTTGTATTTTTTTTTTTTTCTTTTGCATCCTCAGCATCTAGTATAATGCCTGGCTCATAGACGGAGAGTGAGAATGGGTGAGTAAATTGTTAAAGTAAAAATGGAGCAGTCGTCAGTGATGCTACACTATTTGTTAAAAACATTAAGATTGTTGGCTTAATGGGCAAGTACAAGGACATTTAATAGGGACCCATGAAAAGCAGGGTTAAGTGAAAATAGGAAAAAAAGTTTCGCTCAAACACATAATGGAAAAAAAGACTGTCATGTGCTTAAATTAGGAAGAAAGCACACAAAGTTACTAGGCATCATATGCATAACTTGATAATTTGATACCTTTAAAGGGCAAATGTGATATTGGAATGAAAAAATATTTTCATTATGGATAATATTTTCATATTATCATTTCAAATAAGCCTATTATTGGCTCATTATCCTGGTCAAATTTTGCTAGAATTCTGTGCTCTTTGAGCAAGGAAGAATCTAGAATGTAAAGTGGATTTAAGATAAAAATCAGTTGAGAAAATTAAGAGACTGAGAGGATATCCCAGAGAATACTCAGTTATTTTAAAACATTTGTTCAGCATAAAGCCGGCAGTGCAATTCTGACAACCCAGATTCGGTCCAGTTTCGCAGGCAGAGTCTCCGAGAGACTGCCCCCTCACTTTCAACACTGGCTGCAAGCTCTGAGGATCCCAGGCCACTTGTACTTGTTACCAGTGGGGTACAAATTGGGCAGTCCCCACTATCCCCTCGAGTTCAGGTTCTAGGGTGCCAGAAGAATTCACAGAACTCAGGGAAGTGCTGTACTTTCCCCTCCTTTTGTTATAAAGTTTTGGAATCAGGACCAGACACGGGAAGAACCTCATGGGGCAGGGTCTGGGTGGGTTACTAACACTAAACTTCCACATCCTCAGGACACATCACCCTCCAGGCACATCAGTGTGCATCTCCAACCCGAGAAGCTCTCCTGAGCCTTCCTGTGTCGTTTTTATTAAGCCTCACTACAGAGCCATGATTGCTGAATCACTGACTACACAAATCCCTGTTTCTTCTCTGGAGGTTGGACTGATATCCTGAGGCTCAAAACCCCAACTCCATAGCTGGTCACAGGGGTAGTCATTCCCGCATGGCCAACCCCCTACTTTGGCACAATCTAGGACCCACCATGAATATCAAAGACATGCCCATCACTTGCGAAAGCTCCTTCTCAGGAACCAAGGAAAAAGGCCAGCTAAATTCTTTATTATACAAGTTGGCCTTCCTGAGGATTCTGGCTAGGCTGGCTTACTTCCAGGTCAAATCTAATACAGTAATCCACAGGAGACGGTCAGATTCTTCTGCTGTTATTTTGTTGTTGCACTAATTATACCAAAAAAAAGGGACAGAAGACAGAATTCAGAACATATATCATCCAGTGTAGTTTTTGGCCTAATGGTATTCTTTGATCTCTAGTCTTGTATGACAGATATTATACTGAGTGCATACTATGTGATAGGCACCTAATATGAACACCGCTGAAGAAACAATTTATATCTACATATGGCTTAAACAAATACATGTATCTGCATTTAACCAGTGTTCCAATCAAGTGATCCTTGCCTATTCATTAAAGTATGTCTCACAAACACTTTACAAAAAATATTTCATCATTTATTATGTTACTTTGGGTTCTTCTGTGCTCATAGTGGGATATGGTAGACAGAAATTACACTTTGGGGTATGATGGAACTGGGTTTGAAATCCAGTTGATCATGACCTGGTAAGTATTTACTCTGGTCCTCAACCTCTGTATCTGCAAAACCGTGAACATAATCACATCAACTTAGAGAGGCAAAAGAGTTGGTTAAGAGCCTGACTCTGGGACTAGGCTGCTTGACAGACAGCTCTGGTTCTTTCTAGCCATGTAAGGTTAGCAATGTCACCTAATCCCACTGGCCACAGCTTCCTCACCTGTAAAATGAGGACAATCTTTGCCCTCATAGAGATGTTGTGAGGATTAAATAAATTATTAAATATTTCACTTATAATAGTGCCTGGCACCTAATAAGCACTTAAATTTTAGCGATTTTTAGTGATTACTATTTTTAATTCCCTTATTAATTTTATTACTTATATTTCTCTTGTTGCGATCACGATAGTATTTATGAATGCTATTATAAAATGTGACACAAAGCACACAATCAAATGTTGATTTCCTTTACTATAGAAATTACTGGGTTTCACACTATTCATTAAGAAGAGTACTCCATGGACACAAATAAGTGAGATGAGGTTTACCCTCATTTGATGGCAGGTTAAAAAAAAAAAAAGGAAATGGGAGTATAAAGGGTTAGGCGGGCAAACCGATTTTTGAGCAATGCAAAACTGTTTAAAAGTGGGGGGTGGGAGGAAGAAATCTCAATAGGCAAAGGCAAAAAATTAGAAAAGTGTGGGCATAAAAGGATGCCTTGAAAAGTTAAAATTACAATCTTTTATCAAGAACTTGGGAAAATTGTTTTTAAAGCACAAATCCTTGCCATCTTAAGAGTTTAAGAAGGCATAATGAAGTACCAACTAAGATCCCTTTCATTTTAAAATACGAAAACTTAAAAATGATCACCACTTGGGGAAAAATACCCCCACAGTATTTTAATACATGACAAATGAAAATCAGTCAGAATTCCTTATGCTAGACCCTTAAATTATTATAGGCTCTGTTGTACCCACATATGCACCTACTAATTAAGGTCACCATCAGAATACAATGGAATTTTAAGAATGAGATTAAATATTCCAAGTATATTATACTCACAAAATATAAGTGATATCACCAACAACGCAGAAACTAAGCTGTTTTAACTAGCATTACTTATACTGAAAATGAAGATAGAATTTTTTTAATACACTGGAAGCAATTCCAAAACTCACAGCTAAAAACGTAAGGGCTAAAAGTTTTGAGTTTCGACTCAAAGCTGTGCAAACAACATACTGTATAAATCCACTTGTGTTTCTTACATTTACCCTATTTAATCTTCAAGCTGTCAAATTAAATTTCAGTTTTATGAGAAAAACTATGATTTTATTAATTTAAGACATGAATTATTTTCTCTTTATTTAAAAAATCCAAATCATTAAATCTTGTAGCACTTCTTTGATGGATAGTAGCAAGTTTTTCTTGTGATACATACTTATAGGACGCAGGGTGATGACTCCTTCTGTTATACTGTCTATAGTCCACAGAAAACTTAAGGCATGTTTTCTCTAAAGAATACTTTTAAATGATCAGAGAAAAGCCCACGGTTTGAAGTTTATGTAAAGCCTTACTGCAACCTTCACTTCCCTCTTCGTAACAAAATTCTAACAACGCATTTATTAAAAAAAATCACAGAATAATTTTTATTTATAATGAAGTTATTCTTTCTAGACTTTAAATCATATGTTCACTCTTATAACAGAGAATCATTTAAATAACACCACCAAAATGAATGAAGACCAATCGATTAATTGATATTATTATATCAATTTCTTTGAAAAGTCGTAATGATATCCAATTAGTTTTGCAACATGGTCCATTTTCCAGTGAAATTCTCAACAGACTGCTAAGAATTAGTCCTTTACTGACAGTGTATTCTAAGGTGTGGCAGATGTGGCTCTCTTAATTGCTTCAGAAGTCAAACAGTTAAACAAGTGATCTGCGGAAGAGGCTGACTTCATAGGTGACCCATCCACAAATGGATAGCATGCCTTTCAGATCCTTTGGTTTTTATAATAATCCCTTTGGAAAATTAACTATTTGATGATTGTTCCCTTAGAATTCTATTTTAAGCAGGATGAATCACTGCCTATACAGTTTGTGCCAACGTCGTTGACTTTCTCATTTCCACTGTTTTGTTTATCAGATCATATAGTGATGGTAGTCTTATTTTATCCATATTTTTGCTGTAAACATTGAGAAATATACCAAGGACAACTAACAAACCAGACCACACGTACCTAAGAAGAGAAAGAAGGAAAAAATATTAATATCAAGGTAACAATTTATTGTTAACCACAGAACTTGGTGATAAGTTCACAATAATTCTGCAATAAAAATTTTGCTATTGGAGGCCTATAATAGCATTAAAATAAAAAATAGTATTTTTAGATCAATTTAGATAGAATTCCATCTCATTTATATTAAGTATATTCAGAGAGACTTTATAAAATACTAAATGTAGTTCATTTGAAGATAACAGCAAATTCAAGTCCACGTCCTAATCAACAGTCTAAGAATGTACTTAAAGCACGGAATACATTCTGCCAATGGCCATCCTGGGAATTCAGTTTGGCAGTCCGACTGTTTATCCCAGTTGGGTAGCACATAACGAGATAAAAAGGGGCACAGCCTGAGAAAGCTGGGGAACTGGCATAGACTGCTGTAATATATACCTAGCATATGGGGAAAGAGAAACTAATTTATAGAAAACAATACACCGACTGAAATTTATCTTGTGGTTATCTTCAAGCTTACACATTGATAATTTCTAAGTTTGAATCTTCTCAATCACTAAGTAGCATAAATTTAAATGATACTGATTTCAAATGCATACTAGATGGTCGAGAAAACAGTAAATGCTTTACAAGAAGCCATAAACTAAATAAACTTACAGCATTAATTCTCTACCTCAAATCCTTTGTGGGAGAGGGGGACAAATAACAACTTTAAAAACCATATATATGGTTTCATATGTATGTGTGTATATATCAAGGCAAGGTGGAATCCCTTAATCTCAAGACATCACTCATGTTCATTTATATTGGAAATGGGATCAAAATTGCATTGGGACTCTGGTTAGGCAATTTAGTGTACAATATGATTTCTTCAAAATAATTAAATAGCAGAAGACATATCAATAAACTAGGGCTCCAGATGAAACTGATTTTTTATAAATAAATTAAGGCTGCTTAGGAGGAAATGTGAAACCAGGCGTGTACAAGTAGAGAAACCTGTTGAATTAAAAAGTACTTACTGAAACGTGAATGGTTTAGCAAAGAACATAAATGAAAGTACGATGGTCATGGCTTTTCTTCCCGTTGTCACTGCAGGGAGAAAAAAGGTTGGTTTATAATGTACCTACAATCTTGGTAATATTTTGGAGATCATTTGCAACAAATATTTACAGAGCCTACTATGTGCTAAGATCTACGTGACATGCCAAGAAAACGATGGAAAGCAAAAACCAAACAGAAAGTCACTGTTGCCGCTGCTATGGCGTTTACAGTCTAGGAGGGGTACAGACATTAAACCATATAGTTAAATGTTAAAGTACAACTGTAATAAGTACTTGATAAAGGCCATGACACTAGGGAGGCAGGTCATCCCTTAGAAACACTCAGTCTGGCAGGAAAAACAGGCTTTCCCAAGGAAGGTAGGATTAGGTAGAGCAGGGGTTAGTCTTTAAAAGAAGTAAGCTAAAGCACACACTAATATCCTATTGTGGTCATCTCTGAGTAAGACCATGAATAATCTTTACAGTCTTCTTTACATGTCTGTATTAACTTTTACCTGTCTTTCAAGTACGACCTTGAGGTCTGTTGTCAGGTTTGAAACCCTCCTCCCTGTCCCACCCACGTAGAGGTAGGACCTTGGCATATGTCTCCATCATAGCCTTCCGTCCAACTTTGCATTATCAGTTGCTATCCTCCTCTAGATGGTGAGCTTTACTTAGTTTCTTGTCTTATTCATCCTATATCCCCGGACTCGACAGCTCCTGGCACTTACTATCCAAGGTATATATAAATGAACTCCAAATGAAGACGCTGTTTTGGAAATGTGTCAGAGCCTGATTCCCCAAATCTATTTTTCCTTCTGTGTTAGTAAACGGACCCCTGTTTTAACCCCTACTTCCTTCTGTGTTAGTAAACGGACCCCTATTATGGGCATACCTTCCAGCCTTTCCTATGGTTAGGTGTTGTCATGTGATGAGGTTTGGGCCAAAGAAAAGTGAGCAGAAGCGCTGTTTCTAGGAAGTGTACTTTCTAGGAAGATTCCATAAAGAGAAAGATGTGTCCTTCATCTTCTCCCATCCCACTGCCTGGAATGAGGAAGAAGATGGCAGAGAAGACAGAAGGAGCCTCGTTTCCTAATGAGTGTGATGCCACCACAACAGCTCAGGAGGCAGTGTAACATGTGGGCTAAGAGCACAGGTCGGGACCCAGACTGCCTCACTTGGAATCCTGATTCTGCAACTTACTAGCTGGTTGACCACGGGGCAAGTCACTTCACCTCCCTGTGCCTGTTTACCCTTTGTAAAATGGAACAATAACAGTGCCCACTTTTTTATGGGATTATTGCAAGATCAAAATGAATAATGTATGTAAAATGGCTCCTGGTACATAATAACAGATATGCATGCTGGCTACTATTACTGCTGAATTTCTTTTACACGAGACAGAAATAAACCTGTCTGCACCTTTAAGACAAGGATAGCATCTCACATTTTTTATACCAACCACAGGGTTTAATCAATACATATTGATTAATATCAAACTCTTTTTGAACAGTTATTATCTTCTGAGCAAAACTGGAACCTGAGCAAATATATGAATTTGCAATCTTTCTTGGTAGCGTGAGATGACTTGACAGATTACGGCTATGGCCTGATCTACAATTACATGTCCTCTGTTTACCATTAGCAATGTAAACTTTAAAAAGGGAAGTTATAAAATAAGTAAGTAAAAAGGGGAGTCCTATGTGAGCAAATAAAGAGAAATGTTACGAAGCAAATAAACTTTTACAAAGAGAGAGGTATTTATTCCTTTGCTTAATTGACTCTGTAGTATTAGAGTGAGTATTCCCCTAAAACTAGGAAATATTAAAATCAGGTAAATGACTAATGCATGTTTGCATTATGATGTAAATCCTATGTATCTCTGATAGAAATGGTCAAGTCCAACCCAGTCTCTTCACAAGAGAGAAATGAAGCCCAGGGAGGAGGAGAGAGTTACTCTCCAGGTGATGTGTCATTAGACATCAGAGCTGCGACTGGGCTCTCCTTCTCCGACATCTCAATCCAGCGCCCTTCATGACAATCCACGCTGTTTCCAATCCTGGGCTTCACTCAGGGCTCTCTCCATACAGGAGGGGCTCAGAGCATTTGTCACCTGGACCATTCACTGGGCAAATGATACAAGGTTACCACATGGAGTCATGTGTCCTCCTCACTGGGTCTCACCTGTTGCCCCTCATCTGTTTTCCTGACTCCCTCAAAGCAAAACCAATACAACTTCCATTCCTCTAAAGTGCCAAGCAAAGTTCCTGCATAAAGCAGATACATGATAATTATTAGGGACAAGAAAGGATAATCTGGTTAATACCCTAGAAAGTGTACAAATGAAAGCTCCAAAAAGCTTTGTTTAAAATATACCTGCCATACTTTAAGTGCATCAAAATGGGAGTTTTCGGTTATAAATTAAGAGTGCATATAAAAGCTGGATTTTTCTCTAAGGGTATTCAGCGTGTCATACTTTCTAATAAAAAGTCCTTTTAATGTATTTAAAAGTTACTATTTAGATAAATGTATATATTTGATTTTAAAATTAACCCTTCAAATAAAAAATTATGAGCAAACATCATTTTCTTTAGAATTTTAAAGAAATACCATAAGCCAAAAAATAAATTGATGAACTACAACAATTTTCTTTTTAATGCAGAGTAGATGCTGCCTGTATCTTTTGAAAAGCAGCATCAGAGAAAATTTAAATGCTTACTTCATAATCTAAGCAGGTGTATCATTCCTACCTGTTACAGCAAGAAGTGCACCGAAAATTTTAATCAGAGCCAGAACAAAGGAGATTCCAAAATACCCAGTGAGGGAAAAAAGGAAAGCATAACCGTAAGTCTGGATTGGATTCTGCAACATATAAGAAAGCCTGTTAGGAAAATGCAAAACAAACCCTGAGGTATTACAAATGAAATAAAACTACAGATTTTAATCAACTTCCTGAGCAATAATAAGCCATTCAACAACGCAGTCAAGCAAAGATTCTTATTTAGTTCTGATTTAATGGAAAAACAATGATGAAATTAAAAATCCCCAACTTTCACATTATGAATTGCTTAAAAATTAACTTATAGGGTAGAGCAAGGATACAATAAATTTAAATATAAATCATTTCATTTCTGAAATAATTTCTGATCTGCATATATTATACTAAAGGAGTTATCAAATTACATAAAAAACAATCTTTTTGAACAAGAAATACAGAGGGAACTATTTAATGGAAGATGTTTATTTTTAAAAATGTGATTAGTGTTTACCTTTGAACAAAATGTTACTGCAGGGCCTAATCCACTAGTGCATGTCAATCCCAATAAAATGTACACAAAACCGATTGAATACGAATATAAAACCTATGGTAGATAAAAATAAAGTGGAAAAAAATGCTATCAAACCAAAAGCAGAAAATGAAGGATTTTCAATATATGGCTCAATTAATCTACTCAATTAAATCTGAAGAACCACCATTTTTAAGTGACATCATTTTTTCAATATGGCCTAGCTTTCTGGAGATGATGATTGATCCTCTTTATAAGTTTATGGCTTATTTTATGGACATTGTAACATAGCAGTACTGATCCTTCCATGTATACAGTTACATAATATTCATTTTTTTGCCTGGCTTGATTACTGATTCAAACCACATTTGAATTCTGGGGTTCCAAAAACACACATAAATAAAACAAAAAAACCCTTTAAAGCTACTTATTAAACATCAGAAAACCCAAATGTTAAGTTTGTAAAGATATTAACAGATAATGAAAATAAGCAGGGGCATATCTATTGCTTGATTTCCCAGTTTTCCTACCAATCTTTCTATCCCAGTTCCTTATAAGCACAATCAGCAGGGGCATCATCACACTTGTGCACCTGTGATGTGTCGGGTACTAATAATGCTAATCATGTGCTAATAATGCGCTAATAATGCTCTACATGAATTATTCCACTTCTCACAACCAGCCTATGAGTTAGACACTCTTAATGATCATTCATCAATCTGCAGATAAAGAAACTAAAACTTAGAGATAGTAAGTCATTTTGCCCCAATAAGAGAACTCGTAAAGCTAGGAGGATATAAAAGAGATCTTAGCCCAGAGTCTGTCTAAGCTCTTAACCACTGTATTATAGTAACTTTCTAGCTACTTACATTTCCTTAATTCTCTGATCTTTACCTTATCTAGGAAGAGTGGTGATGATGATCAAGAAAACTTCTGACCAAGATTAAAGACTCCTTAAAGATGCCCACTCTGCCGACAAAGTAACAGGAAAGACCATTCCTGTATACCCTTAACGTGGTATGCTCTCTTTGTCTAGCAAGGGGTTAGCTATGAAATTAATGTAAACATACACACGGTAACTTTCCTATATACAAATCCCAACCAGGGAGAAGATATAAGGCAAGAAAGGACATTATTTGCAGTAACAACAGCAAAAAGATGAAACCCCTAACAATAACTTCAATAAGAAATATGTTGGATTTACATGAAAAAAACTTAAAAAAATCTAAGGGACATTTAAAAAAAGCCACTTGAATAAAAGGAAAATCATGGACTTGGACTGAAAGACTCAAGTATATAGATGCCATTCTCTCTAAATTAATTTATAATTCAATTCCATACCAATCACAATTAACAATGGAATTTCCTACTTTATCTGGAGATATGAACATCCAAGAATAACTAATGGTAGTAATATTCTGAAAAACAAAAGGAATATTGCTGGCTAGTTCTAACAGATGGTAAATGTACAATAAAGCTGCTGTCATCATATGGTTTTGGTGCAGAAGTAAATTCAAAAGAACACAATTCTGAATCCTACATTAGAATATTATATGATAAAGAAGGCACTTAAGCTGGAAAAGTGGATTTTTCAACAAATGATACTGGGGCAAGTGGAGAGATGAAGAAGAAATTTTTTTAAAGTTTTGGTTGGCTCAAAGATTTAATTAGGGTTGTCTGGGTGGCTCAGTCGATTAAATGTCTGCCTCTTGATTTTGGCTCAGGTCATGATGTCAGGGCTGTGAGACTGAGCCCCATGTCGGGCTCTGTGCTGGGAGTGGAGCCTGCTTAAAATTCTCTCTCCCTCTCTCCCTTTGCCACCCTCCATCTTGCTCTTAAAAAAAAAAAAAAAAAAAGAATTAAATAAAAAGGCAATCATAAAACGAGTGGGCAGCATGGGTAAAATTCTTAAAAGTTGGGAAAGTCCTTTTCAATCATAATAGGTAGCCAGAACCCATGAAGGAAAAGATAAACCACATCGAAATTACAAACTTCTAAATGGAAAATAATACCAAATACAAAGCGGGAGAAAAGGGATGTAACACAGGATCTTTTTAATATGTAAAAAAACCCTATAAATAAGGAAAAAATTTATCAAATATTATACAATAAGCTCTTAACAGGGGTCATGGTATCTTTTTTAGTTCCCATAATGTTTGAATGTATTACTTTTATGAAAATGATGATGACAAACTAGTTTAAAAATGCCATGCGAGTCTTTAATATCGTAACTATTTCATAAAGTTAAGCACATCACCACTTTTGAGTCTGTCTGCTGTGAAGAAGCAGCACTGGAGTCCTTACCATTTCTGAATTAGAAGCATTATGCAGTTTCATAGCTTTCTCTTGAACATTTCCAATGACAGCATCTGCACACAGTGCCAGGGAAATAAGGATCACACCTTCAAGAAAGCATAAGAGAAACACAACCTCCTTATTTAAATAGGTGAACGATAATCAAGATTTATCAGAGATTTAATTGGGTTAAAAAACAAAAGCAGATCTTAAATCACATCGTTTCAATAAAAATTGATGATTTTTATCGACTACCAGCTGTAATGGGCACATATGTGATAACGTTAAAAACACAAGTAACTGACACTAATAAACTACATTCAAGCTTATTGTGTTTCCCTATTAGATCAAATAATAGTTCTGCTTTTAAATTAGACGAAATGTTAGAAAGGAACACTGTATTAAGCAAATACAGAAGAAATTCTTAGGAGCTCTGTCAGGACTGGTGGTTAGTCGGTTAATTGAAAAAAACAGACGAGGAGGGAAATCATAAAAGATGTTACCTACATTATTAAAACATTTCATTTAGAACACATAAACATGCATGCAATTGCCAAGGTATTTTCTCTGAGTATGTGTCCTAACTAAAATTCTGCACCTTCTCTTCTGTATAAGCCATACTCGTAACACACATTGTTAATGCTTTCCCAGTTGTTTTGTTAAAAAGCACATGGGAAACGCAGGAACTTCTCAAATAGCTGGGGTGCAGAACCCTTTCACAGCTGTATGACATCCTGCTCTCTTTACAGTTGTTTCCTTCATACTTAATTCAATGGTGATTTTATTGACTAGTCAACCAAATTGTTTCAATTAACTTAACAGAAACAATTCTGTCTCTCTTCAAATTATTTTTGAACAATTTAAGTAATATTATTACATGGTTATAGTAACAGGTACAACTGGCATAAACAAACCTGGAAATCAACACTCATGCAAATGAGCATATCTACCTGAGAAGCAGGCTGTTAACTGCAAGTGTTTGGGACACTGGTCACTAGCCATGGTGCTTTACAGAAAGAACAAAAGGCAGCCTTGGTTACGTCTGTGAGTCTGCTGGGATTTAAGGAAGTTTCCCTTTTGCATTATTTTTTAACAATGTATTAGCAATCGCAGGGAGCAGAAAAATATATGTACATGTGTGCACTTGAGAACTTTCAAGTTTTCATGCTTCTTCAATTTGCCTTCTGATCATCTAACTTTGTGGTATTTATTACCTAATCATACATTTTTATCTACCAAACTTGATTCTGAATGCTCTTTTACTTATTTCAAATACCAAATCTGTCCTTAAAACAAAAAGACAAGCTGCTGTTGAAGACCCTGAATACAATATCTTAGCTCCTAACAGGCGATTCGAAGACATTCCAAAAATGTTCTGAACAATGGCAACGGCATGAAAATACCTGAATTGCACCCTGAGGGGAATATTTAAAGGCAGACATTTATTTGAATAAGTAAATTCTGATGTATTCGCTTTATACGTTCAAAGTTTTATTTATGTCTACCTTAAGTAACTATCTTAATAGTGAATCTCATCTCCTTTAGATAATAAATTGTTACAGATCAGGGACTGTGATAACTGCTCATCAGTTTTCTTAACGATGAAGTATTATTAGGTTCGAATTCTCTTACCAAATATTTCCATGGGAGTCAGAATAGGTTGACACTACATCGCCATGAGAAGTTGCAGCACTACTGACAGCACCTCATTCCATCATTACCGTCCCCGCCCAGCACTCCCATGCGCTTTCACAGCCATTATTCCATCACCTCAGTCAACCCTCCCACTGCCCTTGTATGAGGCGAGCTAACAGCATCATCTCTGTTTTAAAAGGGAAGCGTAAAGGGGACTGACAGTTTATCCATGGTTGTAATTTTAAGTGATCTGAACAGAACTGGAAGCCATCTCTTTGACTGCCAATTCTGTGTCTTCTCTACAACTGCTTTTTCGTAAGTAAAAGAGTCAATTATCTCAGTTTTCATATATAGTTTTCCTTTTAGTGTGGCTGACATGAAGTGTTCCTGAAAAATCTAAGCCATGTTAGACACATCTATAACTATAAGCTTTCTCAGAGTAAAACTCATTGAAGTAATGATCACTTGTACTCTGAACAATCAAAATTGAAAGAGATGTAATAGGTTCCACCAGAATCTTTTGGTTGTTAAAAGGGTTGCTCCAAGAGGCTGTACTGGTTACATTTAAATCCATTAACTTAAGCCTGTTTAACAAAGTTAGTAAAGAAGGTTGACTCATTGCCAGTAAGAAAAATTTTGATTCTTAGAAAGAACAAAGCTGATGTAAATGATTTTCTTCTTTATGCAACACTTTTTTTCTCATGAATAATTAAATTTTTTTCCCATTTTTCAGAGTTCCTCTGAACACCTTTTTATTTATTTTCCCCCGCTGAGGATTTACTGGTATAAATGCAACCATATAAAAGCATAAGTTATGAAAAACAGTCATGGTGCGACCTCCCCAGCCCAGACCCTTAAAACCCCCTCTGAGAGAGGAAAGGGAGGAAGGGAGAGCCCTAAAACTGCCTAAGAATGCTACAGCCCCTGGGCCCATGCAGGGCTGGTCCAGCTGGGGTGGGAGAAATCGGGTGCCAATAGTAGTCAGTGGAAAGCTCACACAGCTGGCCCGTGGAGTCCAGGTCACAATTATTCTTGGCACTGGGCTGCGTGCCAATGGTGCCAAAGATCTCCTCACCAGTCTTCACTGTCAGGTAGTCTTCCATGTAGAACACTGCCTGCTTGCAGCGTACATATGGGGACTCGGGGCTGGTGAAGCCCATTCTCTTGCAGCGGCGAGGGAACTTGATGTTGACGTAAGCCACAGGGCATTCCACTTCACTTGCAGGCAGGAGGGAGAGGTGAAAGTCAGGTCTTCTATCTCGACAGTGTAGATGTCCACCTCTTTTTGAGGCAGGCCTTGGTGACCAGCTGCGTGGGGTCCACCACATCTACCAGGGGCTCCTTGATGGCCACATCTTTGATGCAAGACATGTCAGAGCCATATACATTCTCCCACCAGTGGCTCTTGTCTTTGTACTGCTGGTCTTCAATGGCTGTCACGTGTAGCGTGGCTCAGTCTGGGAAGATTAGGCCATCAGGTGCCAGCCACTTGTCTGGGGCATAGAGCACCATGTTGAGCACTGATCCATAGAAGAGGCAATGGTCCATCCACACTGATAAGAACGTCCACCTTTCTCCACCGAAGCGCTATTTCCTTCACCTTCCCCTTGATGATGGTCACCATGTGGTCTAACTTGTTGGCTTTGACAATCTTCACCACATAATCAGAGATACTGGAACACTTGATCCCAATGACCTTGTGGGCTCCAGCCTTGGGAGTAAACTTAGAGGATCGCTGTGCCTGAGCCTACATCCAGCACCACTTTGTCCTTAAAGAGGTGCCGGTTGTGAAACAGAGTTTTGGTACATGAGGGTGTGCACCCCATCTTTCAATATCTCTTCCTGAATGCCGAAGTGAGCACAGGAATCAAAGTTGTAATCTCTGGACGTCATGTCCTCAGCATTGGGCTCCTCACTGCTTTCTGCCTGGCTACAGGAGACCTCCATGATGCAGTCTGCGGCCTTGGGTGCCACCATCTTCATCCGTACCTACTCCTACTCCTCCTCTTGCCACAAAGGGGCCCCTCCCAATACCTAAGTATTTTATTTTTTTATTTTTTATTATTATTGTTTTTAATACCTAAGTATTTTAAATACCATTTCTGTCAGGCTAGGAGATGGGATGATAATAAGCTTATGAATAAAACTCAGTAGTATAAGAATGGTAATACTGTATATATAATAATTTTTCTTCAAGGTTATGCTATTTAGTTCTAAATATACTATAATACCTATTCTGCCTGTGAAAAATCTAAATTTTACAAAATTCCACCTGGCACACTATGAGGTAACTTCATGGTGGAAAGTTCAAGCACTTTAAGGTTCTAACCATACTTAGAGCACACAGTTCAATATTAACATACAGCGTAACTTTCCCTCTTTAGCTAAAACAATGACAAGTAAATGTACAATTTCAATTTAAAAAAAATAATAAAAACAGTTACTAATGGGATTCTTCTATAACTCATGTGTAAACTTCCAACTCAGCCCATGAGAAATTGCTATATCATGTACTCGATCACAGAAGATTTTGACTGGCCAAACAGCCCCGTTAGGTCAAAATACAAGAGCACTAAAAAATAACTGTTAAATTTCCAGGACTGTAATATTTTACTATATCTTACATGGAAAGTCTGAAAGCTTTATGTTAGATATGAAAATCACAGATGTCACACCATCATTTGAAATCCTTATGAAATTGTAAAAGTTCTTACTCTTAAACCAAAATGCCTGCAAAATCCAGGAGTACAAATAATTTCCTTACCTGTCAGGTTGAAATTTGGTGCAATCGTGCTGTCAGCTAGGGTGAACCATATCAGACCAAGGCTCATACATACTGCAGCTGACACATCTGCAATGTTATAACGCTTCCCTGTGTAAAATAAATGTAAGCCAACCTCATTATGCAAATGCCCACTTGGCACAGTTTTAGATCTATGTGTCTAACCAAGTAGAGCAGGATCTGCTTTTTATATCCAAAGTCAAAAATATATGAAGAATGTTTAGATCAATGCCTGAGATAGTCACAGAAGGGCTTCTGAGAATTAAATGACCAATGAGCACCAACATGTCCTCGTAAGTCAGATATGAGATCCTACTTTATATGTTATGGTAGTGAGTAAATATGAACATTTAAAGTTTGTGGACACGAGTGCCTCCTTTACTTCATATATAATAGAAGGTATGAATTTTCTTATAGCTTATACATTTAAAAGTAACCAGAGCAATTATTCAGGTTATATAACTGTTTAAGTTTACAACTACCATAATCATATAACTTCTAGGTTGGTGAGAATTAACCTGTTATAGTATATCCACATTATTTAAATTTTATTTAAAAATTATGTAGTGTAACTTTTTCATAAGGATCACTAAGGAAATATTATACATGCATGTGGTTTTTAATAAGGATTGGTGTCAATGCTTTTTCCTGCATGAACAGCTACCATTGATATTATATGTGATATAGCCAACAGACACTTTCATTACAAAGGGCCTCTGTGGGAAGGCATCCAAAGTAAAAAAATGAAGTTAGGCTGTTTAAGAACTTTAGTGATACAGGGGTCCTTGATTATCAAAACAAATATTTCTCATGACAGTGACATGAACAACAAAAACTTGTTCTACTTGCTATTAGTTTCCTCTTTACTCCTACTTCCACATAGCCTGTAACTTAGTTGGGGCTCTAGGAAGCCAATAAGCCAGGAGAGTTGGTAAAAAAGTTCTGCTAGGTTAAGCTTACTTCGTTGAGAGAATTGTCCATTTGTATAATGGAGGTAGAGGGAGGAGCCCTGAGGAGCAGAAGAATGAAAGAATTGAAAAAGGGAGTTTCCAGGTATTTCTGAGCTATGCCTTCAATACTTGAATGCAGTATTTCCGGAAACGTGGTAGATTCCAGATTAAAAGAAAAAAATAATAAAACAAAATACTATTGTTATTTTTCTTGAGTCTGAATTACTGATTTCGAATACTAGGGGATATCAAAGAAGTATCAGTGTTTATAATACCTTATTTTTTTTTAAAGATTTTATTTATTTTTTGACAGAGAGACAGCAAGAGGGAACACAAGCAGGGGGAGTGGGAGAGGGAGAAGCAGGCTTCCCACGGAGCAGGGAACCCCATGCGGGGCTCGATCCCAGGACCCCGGGACCACGACCCAAGCCGAAGGCAGACGCCTAACGACTGAGCCACCCAGGCGCCCCTATAATACCTTATTTTTATAAGATGTCACTCAGAATTGTTCCAATATTGAGAATGTTCATTGAAAATATTAATTGGAGTTTAATGTTTTTCCTAATGCTAGATGCCATAACATATCCTATTAGTTTCAAACAGTATGAAAATATATCATTACTATACCTTGAATAAAAACTCCTCCTAGCATAACAGGAATCAATTTGCAGCACTTGAAGATGACTTGGGTAGGATAATTCAGGTAGCCCAAGGAAGTATTTGATAACCCCATAGTACCCACAGTTAGAAAAGCTATTATCATGTAGGTTTTTCCTGGTATTCTGTAAAAGACAATTTTTAAAATCTTCATTTCGGGACCCAATTCATACTACTGTAAGATAATGTGTTTACAATGTGTAAATGTCTAATTTCTGTTGAATATTTCTAGCAATATTGGTGAAATAGCAGTATTTTAAAAGTTATCACACTTTACTTGTATAAAACAATGTTGGTTAAAAACAACAATTTACCCTTATTTAATCAATCTACAAGTGAGAACTCTGTGTGAAAAAATGGTGTACCAGAGTTACACAGATTCGTCCTGATGGTATTAAAAAAAAATGTTGGTAAGAGGTTTTTTTAACAGCCGTCGTGTATATATATATATATACGTATATATATATATATATATACGTATATATATATAAACTATCTCGACTAAATTTAGAAAAAAAGAGTTGAGTTTTAAACAATATTGACCTCCACAATGGTAAACGGCCCCTAACTAATTTTCAACTTCTAAATTGTTGTTCTGTTTCCTAATATTCCCATCTAGCATTAGGAAAAATACATTCAGCCCTTCTGCTAAAATAACCTGAGCAGAATATCTCCAGATATTCTGGAGTGGTGGCTTAAAACTCTAAACATGATTTTTATTTCCACAATGTCCACTCTAACTCTGTATTCCATAAGATGTTACAATAATCAACTTCAAGATGAAGAATCTGATTCTCTCCTCGGGATCCCAAATCACTACTTTGGGTTCTATCTGAATTTCCTAAAGGGGTTTTTAATTTGGCATCTTTAGAATTTTGCGCTATTATTGCAAGCATATGCTCGCTTTGACTAGATATTTAATGGTCTAAAATAATCTTGTACACTGGTGTGACTAACACATGAAGTACTATTCACATAATCAGATTATGCTGCATACTTAGAAGTAGCTTCCATTTTGGGATTTATGTTCCGTTTAAATCAAGACAACAAAATTCCTCCACATTTTTTATTTGGCTAGATATAAGGCAAAATAATTTACTGGAAAATTCAATTAAAATCTATCTTTTCCACTTATATTTCAATTTCAAGGCCTTTCCTACTTAACTACTAATACAGCAGTCAACATTTAAAGTCCATGTGGAAATAACTTGGCATGTATGTATGCATCAGTGTACACAGACACTGATTTGTATGCTGTCTGTGGGGTTTAATCCTCAGTGAGGTATCATCAGGGAAGGACAGCACTACTCCTCTAAGTAACGACAGAAGTCACAGTGGTCAAATTTCCTCAGACATAAATTGCAATTAGTGGCCAGAAAATAATTTTTTTTCTGCCTCAAGTTAGAAAAAAATCACAAGGATGGTGAATTACAGAAGTAACATAACATAGGTAGAAAAGCAGCCTAAAATTCAGGAGGCCTGTATTCAGAGGGTCACAACTCTGAGAGCTACTTGCTATACAGACTAACAAAAACCCCAGCCCTCCTTGAGGTGTGTTTGCCCACTGGTGAGACCAGGAGGTTAGATTCATCATCTTCCTCCTGGGTGCCGCTGTGGCTGTTTTATTTAATATCCCAATTTCTTACTTCTTTAGGTGGAGGATGGGGGGTGGGGGGTGGACTGTGACTTTCAATGGCCCCTTCGCAACCAATCTGATAGATCTCCTTTATTAAAACCTCATGCAAAGTAATAATAAAGTTACAAGGTAACTTTGATGAAAAATAACAAGTAGTGTATTTAGGGTGTTACAGCTTACAATATGCTCCCTGCACATTACCACATTTGATCCTCAAATGTCAGAGAATTTAAGCAACTCCCTTGAGGTCTTAAGAGAGCTAATCAGAGGCCATGCCAAGACTCAAATACATGTTTTCTGACTCCAAATCCTTTACTCTTTCAAGTAGTAGTATTCATATAAACACAGGAAGAAAGAAAAAAAAAAAAAAACAACTAAGCAAAGAGTTTGGCTACCTAAAGGTCTGAAGAGCAGCACCACTTAAATAAATTCAGAAATATGTGATTGAGCATATTCTCATTGTAACATACCTTTAAAGGCTTCTTCTAAAAATGTTTTTAATGTGCCCTGGAAGTGAAAAGGTTTTAATTCATAATTATATTTACTATACATCTGGGGCGCCTGGGTGGCTCAGTTGGTTAAGTGACTGCCTTCGGCTCAGGTCATGATCCTGGAGTCCCGGGATCGAGTCCCACATCGGGCTCCCTGCTCAGCAGGGAGTCTGCTTCTCCCTCTGACCCTCTTCCCTCTTGTGCTTTCTATCTCTCATTCTCTCTCTCTCTCTCAAATAAATAAATAAAAAATCTATAAAAGTGTTATAGTCATTTGGTTTAAGGGTTGGGATAAACATGGCTGGAGGCTCACTCCCTATTTCATTTGGGTAGATGAGAGAGAGGTATATCTTTTTTTTTTAAATAGGTTCCATGCCCAGTGTGGAACCCAATGCAGAGCTTGAACTCAGGACCCTGAGATCAAGACCTGAGCCGAGATCAAGTCAGACGCTTAACTGACTCGGGCACCAAGGCACCCCGGAGGTGTATCTTTTTTAAAGGAGGTGTATCTTTGTGTCACTTTCCATTTTATAAAGATAGCATTAGATTCTTTTACTTTGGAAATAGACATCTAGCAGTTTGCAACTGGTAATGAATCATCATGCTTTCTTATACATTAGTCTTGACAGATATATTTACTTTCTATTTTATCACCTATATGGCTGAGTACTGCACCTATATGAAAATAATACAGACGCTAACCTCAGATTCAAACATTTTTTTTTTTTTTTTACTATCACTGCTATAATAATTTATTGGCAATAAAGAGAGGTTGAGAAGCAAAATTAGAACTATGAAGGAATACTGGTATGATAGACTTAAATATTTAAAATTTTATAGTTACCTTCAGACAAATATCAAAAACATTTTTTGTAAGAAAAATAGTAGCTGTGAATATTTATTTTTACTGAAAGACTAAACATTTCTATCATTGAAGACAGGCTATCAGTATTATAGTTCCTTTCTGCATTTAAACTGCCCAGTGTATACGTGAAATATTCACATCTTAGAGTCTGATATGACAGGATAACCACACTTACATTTACCAAGAAGTTACAATTTCCTAACCTTCTCCTGTTTATAATCAGGTTTTTACTGCATACTGTTCTGTATACCATTAAAAATATTTCGAGATATTTCTCAAATCTAGATGGTCAATGAAAAATGTTATGTCAAACAAACTCCTCTGATTCTGATGAAAGGGCATGCTACGAAATTTCTCTGATTTTTAAACATGCAGTCTCAGCGACTGCACATTAGAAAGAAGACAATGTTAAATAGAATATATCCCACAAACCATTAACTGTACATTTTAAAAACCACTATAAAAGTGGCATTGACTGTTCACCACTTTGCTCTTTCTTAGCACTGTAAATCTTCCAGTAATCATACCCATTTCAGTTCGATTTATAAAAACACATATGTACATCTGAATACTTTCTCCTGTTTCAAGATACATTTACTGTAAGTTGAGCCCAAACTACATTTTTCTGATAACATTACACTAAAAGAGAGACCACTTTCTTCAGTGTACAACTGAACTAAATTTAATATTTTTTTGTAAGTTGGTTATACTGATAAAAGTTCTTGGGTATTAGATATGTTTTAGTAATTGCAAATGTATATATTTCATGCATAATATACTCCATATTCCCAAAGAACAAAACAAATTTAACTACTACTAATGAACTTAACTGTCAAAAAAATAAAAACAAACCACATACCTTCTCCTTTTGTCCTGAATAAGCTGAAGTTCTATTAGGCCAAATATGGAGTAAAATGCAAACTGTACTAAAGTAAGGTACCAGCCATAGGACTTAAAACCCTCCATTGAAAATATTAATTCCTGTCAAAAGATACATGAATACTGTTAACTTCTGGGGCAGACCAATTTCCTCACAATAAATTCCTATAAACACAACATTTTAAAAAGAACCCAAGCCTCACCCCCAGCAACAAAAAATAAAAAGCAAAATAAACACCCAAATCACAAGGCTTCTCAAGAGGTAAAATTAGAGAAGTTCAAAAGGCCATTCCAAAGGACTCTAGACATTCAGGTGAGAAAAGCAAAGGGAGGGAGGGATAACTATGAAGCAATGTTATCCTAGGCTTTTCTTTTTAAAAAAAAAAAGACTGCCAAAATTAAGAATTGCCCCAACAATGAGCAAGATAGTTGGGTCAAGGACTCATTTACTGTATAACAAATATATTTCATTAGAAGTCTATTATCTCAGGCTTGTTTTTCTATAGGAATTTAATCAGTGCAAACCAGTAATGTGATTTTTTTGGAGTATTTGTGCCACAGATTATATAAAATTTCTCCTTGTAAAGGAAATGGTTACTTTGTAGAAACATAATGTTATCTTATTAAGTAATATCTACATTAATTGTTAATAAGCCATTAACAAGTCAGGAAGAGGTATTCCAATACCTGGCTTAATCGATTAATCACTCCCCTCCCCCAACCATAGACTCTGAACTAGATTTTGTACATATAGGACACTGTGTAATTCCCCAAATTTAGGTTTCATGTTCAAGTAAGTCTGAAAGATATTTAGTATTTTCCTGGCATATGAATTATAAAATATGAAAATAGCTTTATTAAGTATGTTAGCATTCAGATTCATTTCACTATACTGTATCTATACAGCTAACTTCATTACAAAACCCCATTTTCTTTAAACTATTTTAATAGCTATTATATGTAAGAGTTAGTATCAGTGTCAGTTTTCACAAAGTGAAAGTAATGTTTATTAATTTTAAAAGCTTTGCATAAGTTATAAATTAAAATCTCTGATGATTAATCAAACAGAAAAAGATAAATAAAATCTGTAAATTTCTAACTCATTTTCCTTTTTTGCAATGGCTAACTCTGCTCCCAAATTATCTAACAGTGGTGTTTTGAAAAAGAAAAAAAAAATGTTTCTCAACAAGAAACTGAAACCTGTATTTGATAAAATATACTGTTTTCATCATTCTTCATTGTGATATTTGAGTTTTTGTATCATCCTCTAGTGGGGAAATTAGTTTTTATAAATATTAAGATTTTTAATTCATGTTTTTGTTTAACACTAATACTCCTCACAGCATTTTTACAAGCTAAGGAATAGCCAATTCTACCATTTTCTTCATTTATACTTCCTTTTATATTTCATCTCTATAGGACAATGGGAAAGACTACAATAATTTTTAAGATCATTCTAACTGATTAATACTAAACAATACCAGAAATATTAACTGTTTCAACAAAACACATCCATTTCCATTTCTTGAATTATAAAAGGTTTTCTCACATTAGAAAGCTGCATAAAAAAGGAAAGTTGGTAATGGCTGAAAATACTAAGGAACTGACAAATAAGAATAGTAGTCCCCATTCAAACATTGTTTACACTAGCCTGGCTCCTCACCCATCAAGCCCATGCCCCCAGAAGGTCAGGAATCTGCTGCTAGTCAAAGGTAATACAACAATCCCAGAACATAATACAAACATAAGACAGTTTGTGGCAATGTCAGAAATGTTTTGCACCAGCAAAAATCACAGAATAAGGTTCTGACAAAATTAGATTTGAAGAGGAAGCCAAAAAGAATGAGAACACAACAGATGCTTCATAAAAAGAACAATTCAGATAGTACAGGATTAAAGAGAAACTCCTGGAAAAACTATAAAGCATTCTCATATACTTTGCAAAAATGACCTTTTATTATTGAGCTCCAAGAATCAACAATGGACTAGATTATGGCCTTTGCATTATCATTCAATTTTATTGGAGAATTATGTTCCAAAATACCACTGAATATTTGAATCACTCTCTTTTAGAAAACACATGGGTGCAATTACTTTAACATATTTCAAATTTTTTTATAATTTTAATTTTTTAAGTTTGTCTTGCTCCCTTCCCCCATCTGAAATATTTAACTGTGAAATTTTGATCCCTGCTAAAAGTAGCAGACTAACTTTTAAGAACCCTTTTCTATATTAAAAAACTCAAAAATGTGAATAAAGTGGTATCCTATAAAGAAAAATATCTTGGACAAAACTATTAGTAATGCCCATATTGACTTCAACTGTTATAATTAGCATCTTGTAAATAAGTAACTACTTTTTACCTGTAAATATCCATAAATTAGGTAAAATACAAAAACTCCAGCAACACATATGAAAAACTGAGTAAGTTTGTTAAATCTGCTGAGATTTATGCCAAGTACTACGATGTCATCTATTGACTTAATGTGTGGTGACATTGTCTGCGTTTTGGGAGGGACAGTGATAGATATATATTTCCTGGAGTGGTTGAATTTGAGATCCATTGTTCTTGTTTTGCTGCATTCAGTGCTTCTAAAATTATCTTTGTTGGTTTCCTCTCCCTTGTTCAGTGTTTCTTTTGCTTGCTGAGGCAAGTCCTAAAGAAGGAAATACGCAATTAAAGCAAAAACATTTGGATCATAAGATACAATGTTCCAAATATTTCACATCACGCTTTAAAAATTATACAGGTAAATCTCATTCTCTCTGGGTATTAATATATTAATTCCTCTATACAAGCTTCCAAGCAACCAGAAACAATGTCTACTCTCCAATTTATCTTCTTCTGATAAAGATGATACATCGCTAAATTTTCTTTTTTTAACTTAGTGTTTATTTCATCAAAGAAGAAAATATGCTTTTATTATGGTTTTGTATGTATTAAGGAAATAATTTGTAAAGCCCAAGATAGTTTATGAGTGACATCTTAACATTAAAGTTAGTCTTTGATTACAGAAAAGAGCTGATGCTCCTTTAAGTACTAAGTCAACTGTAAAATGTATTTGTTAATGATGTTTTAAAAGTAAACTCAAACAACTTTACGTTATTTAAAAAAGCTAGATTTATCAGAGACAACAGAAAGGATAATATGCCTTAGCAAGAGCATTTCTTAGGTTAGGTTAAAAGAAAATGTTTTCTTCCTTTGGAGAAAATCATTTTAATTTAAAAAGTCTTTGGGGAGTTGTCGTTCAATGAATATTAAGTTACAGTTATATAAGATGAGTAAGTTCTAGAGATCTGCTATAGGACATGGTGCCTACGTTAACAACACAGTGGTGTGCACTTAAAAATCTGTTAAGAGGGTAGATGCCATGGTAAACATTCTTCACCACACATAAATACACACAAAGGGGCAAACATGTAAGCTTCTGGAGGTGACAAATGTGTATTACCTCAATCGTTATGCTGATGGTATTACAGGTATATGCATGTGTCCAGACTCATTAAATTTTGTATGTTAAACGTGCAGTTTTTTTGTGTGTAACAATTATACCTCAATATAGCTGTTTTATAAAAAAGAAATAAAGATGCTTCTGGGACTATAAAAAGTTGGAAAACATAATTTTTTGTTAGTCTGTGAAAAAAAAAATCATGAGGGCTCTATAGATGACTGTCAATTTCCCTTTGAATTTATATAAACCAAAGAATGAGTTCCATGTAGAGGCTGAAGAGAGAGTGAAGAATTATGACAATTAAAGAACAACCTGATGATGAAAAAATTATCTTGCTAGAAAAAACTCACTGTCACAATCCAATGGGAACTAAAATTTAGAATAGTTGAGGAAAGAGGATAGATAAGGATAACTTTGACAGATTTGGAAATCTCTTTAAAAGAAACTGTCATGATGGTTTAAAATGGCAAGAATTAGAGTCACTTCTTCATGATCACTTCTCTTTTGCTAATTAGAGATAGGAGGTCATCTTCAGTAATTTAAATTGGGCTCAAGGTTTGGAATACAACTTGTAACTAACAATACTCAGGCATCAAATAACTTTTACAGGGAACCTGCCAAATTTCTAAATAGAAAAAGCATAATTTTAAAAAGTTTTACTGTATTTCTCTTCCTTTACCTGTTTCTTCTTCTTTATATATTGTTCTTCCTTCCCACACTGTTTCAATCAGTCATCTCTGAGTTAAGACTTCTTAAGTCATCTTGCAGGATACCCTTGAGATTTGACTTTCTTTATAAACCATGCTTTAAATGATCTTGAATGTAGAAGAAACAAAAACCTGAGTAACTACTTTCCATGTGTGTAGGCATGGATACAGAGTACCATTCAAATATACCTGGCCCCACATAAGCTTCTCCTCCCTCCACCTCTTTTAATCAAGCCCTGAACTGCCCACAAGGAACTATTATTTCATTCCTGAAATATACCATGGACTTTCAAACACCCTCGCCTTATGTTCATAATGTCCCTTCAGCCCAATGTCTTTTTTCTCTAGGTCAGGATTTGAAATAAGCTTTAGTGTTCCTTCCTTTGGGATACCCTCCCTAATTCCCTCAGTTGGGAGAGAAGAGAACTGGAAAGGCAAGACTCAAATCTTGTTTCTGCATCCTTGATATCTGGCATACTCTGCACCCAAATACTCAGATGAACCAAATAAACGGGCCCTTCCCCTGGATGCCCTCAAAACCCCATCTTGCAATCACTTACTGTCTACCTGAACACAATTTTTCAAATGTACTGTGGTGTTGGCAAACTTTGTGAGCAAAACTAAAAATTGTATAGAAAACAGAGGTTAGGGGAAATGTGCAAATAATGTTTATATATTTACACAGAGAGAATAAATAAAACTTCCAGAAGACCTCTCTCCTGCTTTTATTAGTATCAAAAATTTCTCTGCCACCCACCTTCTGCTGGAGGTGTTTGTAACTTAGCAAAATGGCTGGCATACTGTACTGACTCAATAAAATTATAGCTACCATTATGAGAAGCCTTTCCCCAGGCTTTGGATTTTGACAGATCTGAGTTCAAGATCCAGCTTTGATACTGATTAGCTGAAAAGCCTTGAGCAAATTACTTAATCTTTCTGAACTTTAGGTTGTACATCTTTAAAAGGGGGGTAAACAAAATGTGCCTGTGGTAGAATTGTTAGGACTAAATGAAATAAATGTAAAAGTGCCTAGCATATAGTAAAACAGATCACAAATGTTGGCTGTCATTCAACTCTTTAAAACTACTGCTAGTATGATACGGTCTGCTCACCCTTTTGATGTGCAGCTAGAAATATGAATCTGGATTTCCAACCCAGACTTCTTTTCTGGAATCCAGATCTCTATTTCCAAATGCTTTTTTGAAAGCATTTCTACTCATAAGTTCCACTGGCACCTCATTTTAAGCGTCCAGAGCTGAACTCATTATGTTCCCCTCCAAACAAACCTGCTCTTCCTATATTCCCAATCTCACTTACTGGTATGAAGCAAAAAATCTGGTATTTATTAGACTCTTTCCTTTTCCTCACATTCTACATTTTGCCAAGGTTCCTGTTGACTCTACATCCATAAATGCACCAAGAATCTGTTTCCGACCCTACCATTAGCAGCTGTTTTCTCTTGCCTAGATTACTAGATTAGCCTGTTTATAATCTCTTCTTCCCTTTCTGATCCCTCTTTCACACTACTCAATATGAATGCTCATTATGCTGCACCTCTGATTAGGGTCCTATAAATTACAAGCTGGTTGATTCTCTGGACTCTCATAGCACTTTATATTTTTACAAATACCTAAATCATAATGGCCTAACTTTTTGTTCTTGTGTCTGCTTCTCTCACAAGCTTATGATACCCTTTAAGGGAAGAGACAATACCATCTTCATTATATTTTCGCACATAGCAAAAGTATAAGATATGAAATGAAGGACTCCATTATACTTTAGTAAGCACCATTTAGTCAATAGAATCTGCTCCTTTCCGACAATTTGCTGCTTTTAACACACCTATTGGTAATCTTAGGAGCCGCAGATCTGTGCCAGACAAGTAGAGTTAAATCCCTCCAGCACTGTCACTTCTTGGACATCTGTGCCAAAATATTGACATCTCCACTGAAATTTCCCACAAAGCATCTGAAATGAACATGGAAATAAATTCACTTCCTTTACTTACTTGACGTACAGCACCAGAAAATCTGCCCTCAAGGCCTTGCATTTAGAATGCACTTTTATTAATCATAACATCACTGGTCAGATCATGTGACTGATGAAGATACTGTAAACTCTGCTACCCAGTAACCGTGATTCTTAATGTTTGCCATACGCCTTCCATTTCAGACATTAATGATGGATATTAATCATCATCTAAAGAAACTAGGTCAATGTCCTTTTGGTGCAGGAAAAATAAAATCAAGCATAAAAACTGTTTTGAAATTAAATGATCAACATTTTGCTTTGCTTTAGAAATTCACAGTAACCCTTGAAACTAAGAACAAAAAACCCACAGGTGTGAATCACTGCCTAAGGCCTCTTCCTGAAGTCAACACAGATATGTGATATTACTTGGGGGTACAAAAAACTGTTAAAACGGAATAAAAAGGTAGCATTTCTAGAACATACTGATATTTAAAAATTATAAATAACTGGTGATAACACTGATTTACAATGACCTACTTATGTCAAAATTATTTCAGTTAATGTCTTAATCTAGTTTTTTCCAACCCTTAGAAGAAACGTCTCCCATAGAAAAGGGTAGAATATGAGGAAATTATGTCATTACAGTGTAAATAACCAGTACAAACTTGATTCTGTATTTTGTCACACTCAATGTAACAAATAAAATAATCTTGCCACTATATATAAATTAAGTGGACTCTAAATAGTAATTGAGTGACCTATGGGTTATGATTATAAAACCAAAAAAAATATTCTGTCTCATTTCTTTGTACACACTTCATTACAAAAAGTTCAAGAAACAGTGCGCTAATTTTTGATGGTTACTCTATTTTTTCCAAGGGATAAATCTAAACTTAGGATTTGACATATATTTAGAAATTAAGTACAAATAACACTTATCTAAATTATTTTCAAATGCTGCTGTATCTCTCTCTTCCACGTCCCAAACTATCCCAATTCACTTAGGAAAGCGTTAATCCAAAAACCAATTCTCAACATCTGAGGTCCTACCATAGAAGAAACGCATATACCCAACACTAAAAAACTCTCCGTTAGCACACCAAAGCATTCCACCTTCTTTCAGTAATTCTTTAAAAGAGAAATAAGGTGGAGAAAATTAAGCTGCAAAGACTGGAGAATCTGCATAACTTCTAGTGGAAGTTTATCACATAAATTTAATAACCTGGCAAGAACAATCACCCTGCACTACAAATTAAATGGACAGCAGAGTACCCTAAGTACCCTAACACAGAACCCGGAAATAGCTCTTAACTAAGACGCAGTCTTGGGAACCCAGGCGACTGACAGTTCTCCGGAGGCCCCTTACCATAAGCCTAAAAGGCCCTCCTGGAAGTGGCCTCATGTCTCAGAGTCCACAGACGGGGACGTGAGGGAGTTCTAGCCAACCGCAGGGCGGAAAGGGGGAGAGGAGGAGCAGATACTCCTCCCTAGAAACCGTGCCAGCAGGTTTCCGTTCTTGAAACAAGGAAGTCACCCGTGCCCTCCATCCCGACCCTGCACGCTCGTTAGAGATGAAAATGAACTGTCAAGATTCTCTGGGGAGAGGGAGGTCTGGGTCCCAAGCACGGCGAAGGGCCGGGGGTACACGTCCACTTCAGAACCGGTATGTCACCTAAAAGGGTGACCCCAGCCCGAGTGGCGCCAGCCAGACAGAGCGTCTCCCCCTCCCCAGGTCCGTCGCCATCACCTCCTTCTTCTCCTCTCCGCCTACTCCTGCACTTTCCACAGCGGTCGCCGCCTCCTCGCAAGGTGCTCGCATCGCCGGCGCCCGCGCGCCACTTCCGCCTACGTGTCTCCGCGCGCGGGCGCAGTTGCGCGGTCCCGCCCCCTCGCCGGCCTGGGGCCATCAGGCAGCGAGGGCGCGGTTACCTTTCGCGCATGCTCTCTCCTCTCCCGAACGCTGGAAGAGCGCAAAGTGAGCTTGGCGGTGCGAGGGCTGCCGTTCTGCACCCACAAAAAATGGCGTAGGAGTGGCGAGCGCCGACCCGGTCGAGAGTTTTCACCCACCGATCCATGTTCGCTTGTTGCTGGTATCCGGGCCTCTGCAACCTCCAGGGTTGCTGCGGCCTGGTACTCCCCGGGCCCCTGCACCCCTTGGGGCCCACGCAGGAGACCCCTTACACTGCAATGGCCCTGCGCTGAAATTTGAGAAGGAAGCCTAGTGGAGAATGTTGAACCTGGATTTAAGAAACCCTAGTGTTCCCTCTTCCCTCTTCTTGATCCAAATGAGTTGGGCATAGTCACCCTACCTGTCTCCGGTTTTATGCTTTTGACTGACTTGTGCCTGCTCTCTGGTGAAGGTGGACTGAAGGCGCCCTTGGGTTGCTTCTGACGTTATAATTCACCTTGTAGCTCAGCAATCCCAAGCCTTGCAACGTGACACGAATGTTGCCCGCATTGTTTTGACAGTGCTACTTACTGCGCAGAATGTAAATCCCATAACTCTACCAGCTATCAAAACTAAACACTTATCCTGCACTTAGGGCTACATCTACACTCACTGAGATGTGTTGACATAAACACTAAGATGGCATAGCCGCGATGTTTTCAGGTGACTATAAAATGACATGTAAGGCAAAGATTTCTGTATGGAAGCCGGGACATTTTTGAGTGCATGATTTAGATAACCCAGAAAGGGATGAACTGGATTAATATAGATGTTAGAATCCAGTAAGTTATGTATAGCTTTTAAAATTTCACAGGCATTGTGCAGAAAGGGCAGCACTTGTATTATGTATTGGGTGTGAGGGTTTATATAAAAGAGTAGCAGTTAACGCCTATTAATAGTGGTGAGTCTGGCTAGGCTTTTTTATTTAATCCTTACCAACCTTGTACAAGGTCAGTGTTACCAGCATGTTAATTAAGACTTAAGAGAATGTTAATTTCCTAAAGAAACAGTAAATGACAAAACCTTTAATGTTATGCCATGCTGTTACCTGAATAATGTGGATTTAAAAGCATTTAGGCAACATTAATTGAGCACCTATCAAATGGGCATACGCATGGGTCATATACGTAATCCATAAATTACAAGTATGGGCTCCCTGCCCTCAAGGAGTTAGGGATACACAAGTAAAGGTAAATGTCAATATAAAACAACTTACTATACAAGAGGTGTCATAAGGAACCATCTACTCTTGCCTGGACAGTTACGGTAGGCTTTGTCTTCTTCTTCTTTTTTTTTTTTTTATTATGGAGCTATATTCCATAATGTAAATGTGCCACAGTTTGGCTTCTGACACGTCTTTCTATCTCCCCTTTATTTCTCTGCTTCCAATTTCTATTCAGCAGCCAGAATGATCCTTTTAGAGCTTGTGACAGAATATACCATTCCTCTGCTCAGAATGCTTTAATGGCTTACTGTTTTACTCTGATTAAAGTTCAAAACCCTTGCCATGGCTTCTAAGTAAGAATTTGATCTGAAAGGCCACAGCTTTTTTTTTTTTTTTAAGATTTTATTTATTTATTTGACAGAGACACAGTTAGAGAGGGAACACAAGCAGGGGGAGCGGGAGAGGGAGAAGCAGGCTTCCCATGGAGCAGGGAGCCCAATGCAGGGCTTGATCCCAAGACCCTGGGATCATGACCTGAGCCGAAGGCCGATGCTTAACGACTGAGCCACCCAGGCGCCCCAAAGGCTACAGCTTTCTATGGCTACTCTTCAGAGCCCATCTACCCCTCTCCAAGAACACCAAGTGCTAGTGCTCTGGACTTACCATTCCATCTGCACAGACCATTACTCTCTCAGATATTCACAGGATGTGCTTCTTCACTTACTTCAGGTCGCTGCTCAAATGTAACCTGGTCAGGCAGTTTTTTCCTGACTATCCTATCTAGGAGCGCCAACCCCTCTACACCCAGACACCGTTCTTACCCTGCATTTCTTGTCTTCATAACAGCTATGATAGATTCCCATATGTTATTTGTGCCTCCCCACCTATTTTTCCCTACTTGAACGTTTGTTTTATGAGGCCAGAGATTTTTTGTCTCATTCACAGCTGTAGTGCCATCATATAGAACAGAGTGCTTGGTACACAGTCTGCACTCAGTAAGTATTTGGTAAATGAATGACTAAGATGAACTGCCAAATGAGTGTTAGGACAGTAGCATGGGAATCCGGAAAAAGTAAAATATTGGCTGGCATGGCTTATGAAAGCTTCCTCTAAAAGGCAGAACCTAGATTATGAAGAGGATTCCATTGGTTTTGGAATGGGGGAGAAAGGGGAGGAAGGGCAGTCCCAAGCAGAGTCATCCAAAATAAACGGAGACATTAGACAAGGCAGTAATCAGAGCTACGGTAATTCTAATATGCTGATCTCCAAAAACAAAACTACAGGAAAACCCCTAATAGCTCATCTGTGAAAATTCAGCCTTGCCTCACAGAGGGCTAACTTACCATGTCCCCCTTTCCTAGCAAATCCCATTCTTCCTACATTGTATCTTTCAGCTATTACTAATTCTAGACTGACTGGCAAATATATTTAGAGACTAGTTGGAATTTGTTTTAAACTATGAAAAAGAAAATACTGAAAATAACACAGAATTTAATGTTTTAAGTAAAGCATGAAGTTACACACATAAAGATTTCTCATGTGTCTGAAACACAAATAAAATAATAAAACATTAAAAAATCAGCTGTAAATAGGAAAGGATCTTTAGGAATTCAGAGTAACTTTTATATTAATTCAAATAAGCGAAACTTTAACCTAATATTATAAATATTTTTTTAATGTAAAGGTCAATATTATAGGCTAAATTGTTTTCACCCAAAATTCATATGTTGACATCTTCGCAGCTAGTACCTCAAGGGTATGATTGTACCTGGAGACAGGATCTTTCAAGAGGCAACTAAGGTAGAATGAGGTGATGAGGGTGGGCCCTAATCCAATCTGATGAGCATCCTCAAAAAAAAAAAAAAAAAGGGAATTGGGAAATGTCTGCATCCAAGGGGCTATGGAAGCGGCTGGAAATGTCTGAGCTTTTTTTTCAGGACAAGCTGGGGTTTGCACATCATCTACCTGGATGTCTCTCTAGGGAATTATTTAAACACACTCAAACAAAGAACAGTAATCATCTAACAGAAAGCAGAAAAGAGGAGAAAAAGGTGAGGTGTAGCAGTTGTCAAAGAAAAAAAGAAAAAAAAAAGAGGGAATTTGGAGACAGACATGTACAGGAGGAAGGCCACGTGGAGACAGTCAGGGAGAGGGGCCTCAGAAGACACCAGCCCTACCAACACTTTGATCTCGGACTTCCAGTCTCCAGAACTGTGAGAAAATAAATTTCTGTGGCTTAAGCCACCAGTCTGTGGGATTTTGTTATGACAACCCTAGCAAAGTAATACATCAGTGCCATATTTTTACGTGTCAAATGTGAGGTATATGATGGACTGAGTAGTACTTATTACAGAGTAGGTGTTTATAGATACTGACTCCATTACATCACGGTAAGACCCCAGTGGAGACTAAAGATGTGCAGCTATGAACTGATTATCAACTCCTAAGAAATTCATAGTCCTGTTGCATCAAAAGCCTACAGGGTCCTGACTCATATTCTGAGCATTGCCTCCGATTTCAGACTTGGTTGTGGGGACAGTTTCATGCAAACTTGTCACTTTTCCCTGACATCTTCCTTTCTCTACCATTCCATGCTTTCTACCCTGAGACTCCTCTGACTTTGCTGACTCTGATGGCAACAGTAGCTCACACCTTGCACACCTTTGAAGTGATGGTCAGTTAACATTCCGGGGTCAGCCTTTAACCAACAGGTGACAGTATCCGATGGACAAAGCCTCTTGCCTCTTACCTTTTAGTGAGGCAGTTCTGTAGAGCCATTCTGTGTGCTTCTCAAGAGGTCCTGGGGAAATTGAGTTGTCTGCTGCAGCAATTTCAAAACTGCATTCTTGTATCATCTTGTATAACTTTCTCTTCATCCCCTCACCGCTTCTCAGTAGGGTCACCTTCCAAATGACCTGGCCACACACAAATACCTGTCTTAGGTTATGCTTTTGAGGGAAGTCAACCTAAGAAATTGGTGTAGGAAGAAAGCGTCAAATGCAGCCCCTCAAGTGTCTGGGTCATTCACTAGTCAGATGTCAAGAGGAATACCTCCTGGTGCACTGGGATATCACAATCACTAAAGCTCTTCTTACGTGCTGGATAGAAGATGAAAATGCAACTCGTCTGCATGGTAGCTCTAGCACTTGAATGGGAAGAAACAAAGGCACTTAGAAGGATGGCAGAATTTGTGTTTTTGTTGTTTTTTTTTTAACTTTCATGGTCAGCCAGCTATTGCCTCAGGGCTCATCATGAGAGGTAGGAAACCTTCACATCAGCATCTAAAGAGATCCTCATTTCTTGCAGCCACAGGACAGAGTGCTAAAACTCCCATTCAAGATTTAGTTATACGGGTGGCGAGCTGATTGGTAATAGAATGTACCCTTGGCGGATCTCTGATGCTAGAGTCAGGGCCTTGATAGGGGAGGAGAAGGACTTAGGAAGGGGGGAAATCGTGTGGATGATCTGAGGAACCTTATGCCTCGAAATTCCCTTGAGCCCTCTAGGCTTGTAGAAATACCCCATCCCCCTTTGTGCAGGGAGACCCACTCCTACTCTCACCGGAAGAATGAAAAGACCTCATCAGAGACAGGGACCCGACAAGGTCACGCTTGTCCTCAAGATCTGCTCCAACCTCCCCTCATTGTCTCCAGACTAAAAATTAAGATGAGCTCTTGGTATAGCCTAAGTGGGGAGGTACAGTCCCTTCTCTGGGAGGAAATAG